GTATGATTGTGTAGTTGTCTTTAGTAATTTACTCGAATACTTGGAGCACTTGTGCCGGTATCTCACAGAAGAGATGACACATCATCGTAAGAAATGCACGTGCCTCCATCACGGCGTGATGTTATTGCACATAACGTCTTATTACAGACAATCAAATGTAACTCGCGCGTCAAGCTGATTGGCAACGTAGTCGTCCCCTAAAAGCGCATCACGGAAACGACAGCTTGATCGCCATTGAATACAAGAAATTGGACGGACGTATAGTCTAAAACCCTCCGTAATGCGTCGCGACTGACCCAGATTCATGATCGCTGCAGCACCACCTTTATGTCTTTTTGTCTGCGCACGCGGACGTCCTGAAGGACAGATAGAGTTTCAAACTCAACCAGCAAACCGACAGTGCCGTTTTATATTATAATTCGATTGGATCCCCCGCAGTGAATGTCCCGCGGTTCTTTCAATGACGGGTTCTATGGCGCGCGAGAACCTTAGGTCTAAATTGAAAGATAAAAAAATGGAACAGCTATATAGAAGAGCATATCTTGATTTTATATAAAATATAGTTTATACAAAGGGGCCTTTCTTCCTCGTAACATGCAAATTTGACAAATTTTCACTTGTAATATGCAAATTTAACAAATTTTTAGGTTCGCGAATTTTTTGAAATTTTTTGTACGATCGCTTCACGAACGAGATATTCGCGATAAACCGGCAGCCTTGATTTACATGGGCAAGAATACACGCAATGTCGCAACCACCAATCTTGTAGCTGTACCAGTCGTCGTTGCGCCTCGGTCAATTAATCAATTCGCTATCTAAACATGACTCAACTGTGAACCTAATTCGACGGAAACGTATTTTTATTTACAACGGAGAAAAATATACGCGTTCTCGGATCTCTCTTCGAGATCGGTTAGCTGTGGCCTCGAGACATTGTTCAAGGTTCGTTGGTGAAGGTTCACGATAAAATTGTGACGTAATCCCAGAGTCCAGAACGTGTAGAACATTATACATAGAGAGTAGCTAAATGTTGGATGCCGGATAGCAGATCGTAACGCGAATCAATGAAATCCTCGTGTAAAAGGTACGATGAACTGCCATTGAAGACTGCGGAATCTTGATATGCTACACATGCTATAGGTTATACTATTTATCGTTCAGAAAGCTATGCAACTCAATATGGCGTATTAATCATAGCGATAAGTCGTACATAAAATTTCATTTTGCTATGAATCTTAAGCAATTCTAATTTATTGCATTAATATTAATCTTTATACTTTATAATAATTATATAGATTATAGAATTTCTATTTTTATCACAAAAAATTATTAATAAAAAACTTATTATTTTTATAAGAAAATATTGCTGTCTTATCTTACATCATTATACCTTTCTAATTGCTGATTATACTGTTTTAGACCGGTCTTCCATGTATAACGTTGGTTTCGAAGAATTCTGAGATTTGAAAAAGCGAGAAATGATACGTTTGTTAAACCGAAGAGTCAGCGGCATTCATAGCATATGACATCACAACATTAAGGGGAATGATATAACTCGTCACCGAGTTACGCCGCAATGGATATATCGCTCGTTACAAGCGACACATTTTTAGAGAATAAAGCAACGACTATTTCAGCAGAGAAGTACTCACCAATTAACATAAGAGTCTTGAGACTTGAATTTCTATCACAGCACAGCGATAAATATGTATGTTTGAAAATATAACGGATTCCTTTTTTTATCTATTGTACTAGTTCTACCGATCTACATTGATAAAGTATGCGATTATGTACATTCATCGTTATATTATAGAGCTCGACTTATGCACGCTACGTTCAAATACGCGTGGTATAAAATCGTTATCTTGAATATAATCAAAAATTTCTCAAAATTATAAATTATAATGAGATTATACTACGTCTATTAAGCTGGCACAGCCACTTCAGCACAATCAAACGCGACCTATACCACATTTTTTTGCTATTTTTTTGCTAATTTTTTACTCTATTCCCGATTATTTTGGTCATTGTTTAAGTCGAAAAATTCCACCAAGAGTGTGGCTGTGCT